AGGATGCATTTGGTTGGGGTCGTTGGGTAAGCACCAATGCTGCGCCTAACGGCCGCGTGATTTTCTTTAGATTGGATGGCGCGCACCAGCCATAGATAGGAAGGGCGTACTCGATTTTGGACAGGATCAAAGCTCGCGTCGCTTGTATTAGTGTAGTCGGGTGGATGAAAGAGCGCTTAGATGTTAAGAATTTAATAATGTTAAGTCTATTGTTTAAATTAATCCTAAGTTCGTTACAATGTTGTTTAAATGTGAGTCGTTTATCAATTGTCAGGCCAAGAATTTTAATGTAAGGAACGTTTTCTATATTTATGTTATTGTAAGATAATGTTGGATATGTACAGCGTTGTTTTTTACAAATATGAAAGAGTTTACATTTATTTACAGCAAGGGTCGCACCGGAAGTGTTCCCCCAAATTTGAATATCCTTAAGGTTTTTTTTTCAACTGACTGTTTAATGTAGTAGTGTTTTTACATTTGCTATAGATTATGGCATCGTCTGCATAAATTGAAAATTTAATTTGTTTATATCTTAGAATAATGTTGTTTAAGGACTGGAAGGCGATCATGAACAATACCACAGAGAGGGGCGATCCTTGTGGGATGCCATTGTGGAGAGTATAGAATTTAGATAGAGTGTTGTTTACTCTTACTCGGATTGAACGGTTGATCATGAAAGCCTTCGCTAAGTTGAAGGTCTTTTGACCTACCCCCCACCGGGAAAGTTGATCCAATACTGTGTGCACCCCTATGCGATCGAAAGCCCTTTCAAAATCAGTTGCCAGTATGGTAACATGATTTTTGGTAGAAAGGGCATCCGATGCATAATGGTGGAGATGCAGGAGAGAATCAAGAGTGCTATGCTGTTGTTTAAAAGCTGTTTGGTGGGGGCTGATGAGTTTATGTTTTGTGATGAACCACATAAGTCTTTTAGCTAACATTTTTTCTAGGGTCTTGCTTAGGCAGGGGAGTAGGGAAATAGGTCTAAATGATGTTATTTCATTGGTTGGTTTATTTGGTTTTAAGATTGGGATGATAATAGCGGATTTCCACACATGGGGGTACGATCCTTTAGCGAGCATTGCGTTATATAGTTCTAGTAGGCGGTACTTAGCTTCGGAAGGGAGCTGTTTGAGCATTGGGTATGAAATTCGGTCTATACCGGGTGTTTTTCCTTTTGCATACTGAAGGGCATATTCGAGTAAAGTTAGAGTCCAGATCTTTAGAAGCAGTGGAGAGTTTCGTTCTTTCGTATTGCTGAGACAGGATTTCTTTTTTACGGGTATTGTATTGGTGGGAAAAATTGTCGTCCTTTGAGTAGTCCGACCAAAAATTCCCAAAAGCGTCGCCCATGTCTGCAGAGTTATGTAACTCTTCATTTTTATACTTTATTGTCCTGAGACTGAGACTATTTGATGAGTTCCCAATTAGGCGATTTAAATCTGACCAGGTCTTCTTAGTAGATGCTTGAGGAGAAATATTTGATGTGAATCTTTCAAAAGATTCTCGTTTTGCTATTTTGGATTGGTATCTAAATAGAGCATTGGATTTTTTGTAGGATATTAGAGCGGCAGTGCTCCGAGTTTGTTTGTAGGCATGCCAAAGGGATTGCTTTTGCTGCCTCAGATCTTGAAGCGTTTTGTTCCACCAAGAAACATTTCGCAGATGTAGGGAAGGTTTGGTTTGCGGGATTGCAACATTAGCAGCGGCTTTAATTCCTTTTAATATTTTGGCTGCGAATAGGTTTAAATCATTGGTAGCAAGAAAGTTAAAGGTAACTTTGCATTTGTCGCGGTACAGGTTCCAATTGGCTTCATCTACTTTAAATTTAGGAGGAGGTGGTATGCGTTCAGAAATTGTACTAAAATGAATGTCTGTGCTTATGGGATAGTGATCACTTCCATAAAGAGAGTCTTTTACGGACCACTTACAGAAAGGGAACAGCGATGCGGAGACTAATGTAAGATCAATTGCCGTGAAGGAGTTGTGAGTGGAATGATGGGTAGTGGAGCCATCGTTGAGGATAGTTAAGATTGATTTGTTTATGACATCTTCTATTTGGTGTCCTCTAGAGTTATGCGAGGGAGACCCCCACATTGGACTCCAGGCATTAAAATCTCCGACATATAGGATTGGTTTGCTAGTGAGGTCTATAATTTTAAGAATTTCGTTTGCTACTAATGATTGAGAGGGAGGTATATATGTATTAAAAATACAGACATTGGGTTGTGTCAGGATTTCAATACCTAAAGAGCATGTACTGCCATTTATTGGTATGGGCTTGTGTGGAATACTTTTCCGAACGCGTATGCAAACACCTTGCTTGGCATAGGTATTAGAGATAAAATTATAGAAGTAACCAGAAAATGGCTTGGGAAAAGCTATATTCGTTAGGCTAGATTTTAAATGAGTTTCCTGGAGGCAAATAACATCCGGGTTGGTGTCGTTTATCAAAAGTTGTAATTCGTGGTAATTGTTAAAATAACCATTCATGTTCCATTGTACTAGTTTAATAGACATTAAAAGGAAGAGAGGGCAGGTGTTATTTGATTTTTGTTTGTTTTAATAATATGAATTATGAATCGCTCATAGCTTCGTCAGAGGAGATGCTGTTTGTTTTTCGGGCATTAGAATTATTTTTGTGTGAGGCTGATTTATTTTGAATATGAGAAGTAGTTGGGTTGTTTTCTTCATGCTCAGCATGAATTTTATTTAAATGTGCAAGTGATGCAGGAGATAAGTTATATTTGTTTTGAAGAGGTAGAGCAGAGTGATCTACCTGATAAGGGCTTGGTGGGATAGGGGATTGGGAAGAGGGAGTAGGAGAAGGGGTGGGGGAAGGGGAAGGGGAAAGAGAAGAGGAAAGGGAGTTATTGGGGACTTCGTCAGTGGAAGATTTTTTAATTTCGTTTTTGTTGTTGTTTGCGTTTTCGCTGCGTTGATGTGTTGGTGTTGTTTTAACTACTAAAGAGTAGGAAGCGGTATTAACCGTATTTTGTGACGTTGTTTTGAATATTGTTTTGGCCTCACGCATGGTGCATTTTTTAACAGTTTTTATTCTTAGTATTTCTTTTTGTTCTTGGTACTTGGGGCATTGTCGGGATGAGGCCGAGTGCTCGCCAGAGCAATTGGCGCAGTTAATTTTCGTGCATTTGTTTGGGACATGGGGGGGAAGGGCGCATTCAGAGCAACGGGGAGAGTTTTTGCAGTGCTTGGTTGTGTGTCCAAGCAATTGGCAAGACTTGCATCTCATGGGGTTGGGTGTGTATTCGCGGACTTTTACAGAGTGCCAAGAAATTTCGATTTTAGTTGGGAGATTATAGAGTTCAAAGGTTAGTAGGATGACTCCACTCGGTTTGGACACACCATCATGTGATTTCATAAATTTGTACACGTCGGTCACTTTTTGTGACTTAAGTTCGTCGACGATTTCTTTTTCGGGGATGTCACTGAGGTACGGGGCATAAACAGTTCCTTTTACAAAATTGAGGGCCTCGTGGAGCTTGCACTTAATTTTGCATATACCAGTAAGCTCGGTAGTGTTAATAAACTTTTGGGCGTCGGCTTGAGATTTAACTAGCATTAGTAAATTTCCGTCTCTGAGGGTCGAAATAGACACTATGTTTTTAGAGATCATTTTTAAGGCACGGTGAACGCCAAAGCATGAGAATTGGGAGAGTGTCTTGTCGGTGTTGGTAGAGGCAATTACAATGTACTTCGGGTTGTCGACTGCGGTTGGTGGAAGGTCAGGAAAAGCAACATCCAGTTTTTGGGGTTGTCTTCTTTTTTTCGCTGGGGGGCTGTTGACAAACGGTGCAAACCGGTTGTCGCCCAGGTTGGGGGCCCTGGGGCCATGTTGGGGCTTTTGCATTGATATTCCGTTAAGTATTTTATGCAATTGGTGGATGGAAAATTTGTGGAAAACGAGAGATGAAGGAGTATGAAAAATTAGGACCACGTGGGTCCAATAAGAACGAAGACCGATTAAGAACCGCTGATGGGAGATAAGCGACGTCCGCTCGCGACGAGAGATAGTCGAAGACTGACTGTAACTGTCAAACTGTAATATAATAGGTAAAACCTATTGAAACTCTATTTTGTGAGTGTTTTCAGCATTTAAATTTATAATATAAACATCAAAACCAATCTGCAAGGGTATACAAACTTCGGCGAGCCGAAGTTAGCTTCCTTTCTTGATTTTATATTAATTTAACTAAATGGCTCGATTCTTAATGATCCAATTTCAAACTTCGGCGTGCCGAAGTTAGCTTCGTTTCTTGTTATTTCAGGACTCATTAATTTTTCTTTTCTTCCTAGTAACGAGTTCATATATAAAAAAATGCGTGATGCGACGGCCCCCTAGGTTGATACGGTAGAGCTGGAAAACAATCGATGGCACTATCGATACCGTCGGTGTTTCTTAAATTTTGTAAACATCGATGGTTCTTGGGCCGCTATCGATTGTTTTTATTGTATTGAAGTAGCACATAAAGGAGAAGGAGTGAATCAACTTGAGTATTGGACGGTAATAATGTTTTCTCTGTTTTTTTAGACGCATACAAACGATACAACAGCCTTAGCAATGCTGTCTAAAAAGGTCTTATGCGTGCCAGCATCTTCCTGCGCTTCAGAGCGAGCGTTCAGCAAAGCTGGACAAATTATATCTGACAGGAGATGCGCATTAAAATCAAACATTGTTGATCAGTTAATGTTTTTAAATAAGAATTATGATCTCAAATAAAAAAACTACTTAATTGATATTTTTATGTTTTATTTGAAAACATCGATGTTTCATCGATGGTTTCTTCAAAAACATCGAAAACATCGATGGTCCTAAACATCGATTGTTTTCCAGCTCTATGATACGGCCCTTACAATAACACATTAAATTTCCCTTCACAAATTGTGAAGGGGCCTTAGATGGTGGAGCTCTGTCGAACTCACTCTGAAGCCCGCTGGATTGGGAATGTAGTGGAACGAATTGTTTACCACGGCAATACGGAGCGGAGAAGGTTGGGATTAGGTTGCCAAGTTTTGTATTTCATATGTATTAACCAACGCACTGGAACATATTAAAAATTTTCGTTAGTATTTTCTTTTTTTTTTTTTGCGCGCGAAATGGAATTTACAACTAAAAAATCGCTGACGGACGACATGGCCTTTACTCCATACGGCACGGCGGTGCTTATTGGCAACTGGGCAGAGCGTCGTTTTGCAGTCGAGGAGCAAAGCAACGCCATCCTGCCCGGCATTCGGGTGGAAGGCTGCGAACGTCATCAGTCACTCAGCCAGGATACGTACACGGATGCGGCTTTTGTGCGCGTCGAGACCGTCCCCAATTTCCTTGAGCAGCGCAAGTTGGCTTACCGAAACTACTTAAAAAACAGCCGGTCAGGCTTGAAGTTCGTAGACCATGAGTCACTAAAACGCAACTTTACCACGACCCAGACCCTGGACTTCCAGGAGCTACCGCGACAGAGTCTTAAGCTCGCCAAGGGCGAGGAAGGGTGTCCCCCAAAGCAAGCGGCAGAGATTGACAGGCTGAAGGCCTTCGGAAATCTTACAAAAACCCACAACTATCTCTGGCGCTTTAAGTGCGAGAAACTCCTGGAGGAACTTAGAAGCAAGCAGACTACTTATTCCGCCTCCTACAACCGTCCATGGAGGAGTAAGTCGGTCGATGAGTATGGGACAGATTACGATGGCGACATGCCATGCTAGAAATTGGCGGGGTAGCAAGCCCTTAAAGATAAAATAAACGTGTATATTACAAGATTCAATTTATTTCAAATCATTTTCTTGTGTAATAATATAGGTTCGTATTTTAAGTAGTTTCTATATTTTAGATGCCAGAAAATCAATGGGTTTTAATTTTTTTGGGTGCACATGCCTTGGCATTAGCCTTTTGTTTCTTTTTCTTTTGAGAGCTATTTTTTGGCTTGGTTTCGGTTTTCGTTTTGGAAATTAGTAAGTCGAAAGACGTTTACAATACATTAGCGTTTACCCTTGATTTTTGCCTTGTCATAGAATACATATTTTAATATTAATTAATTATTACAAAAAGTAAAATTTTACGACATTAAACTAGACGACGCAACGTATTGCATATGTATGTATACTCGCTTAAGTACTTTATTTTTGATTCGGTAATATAAGTATGCCTTAAACACTTTTTATTTTGAATAATTTTGGACTGCCGTGATAGGTTGCTTTCTGTACTTTCTTATATTTTCCCTTTTTAGGCTGACGATTATATTAAAAATTATGCTTAAAATCTAAACCAATGGAAGGTGTGGGGCTGAGCGTGTGGTGGTGTAGGTTTGTGTGTACTTTGGTGGTTGCTTTTTTTAAATCGGTTTCACGGTTTTTTTTTTTTTTTTTTTGTTTTGAGTGTAGTGTACGTGTGTTTAGGGAGTCGCTTATATTTAGCTTGGGTTGTGTTATAAATGTTCTGGATATATGTATGTTTGTATATATATTGCTTACAACAATTACAATTTTGAATTTTTGCTTGTTTTTGGGTTTGGTAATTTTTTCTTAAGAGTGAATTTGTTTTTTGAATACTTCTCATATCGCTTTTCCGCTTAAACTTTCTCATTCCATTCATATTTCAATGCTTTATCTTTTACTGGGACTTTTTCGTGTTTTTATTTAATTTTCTCTTACTTTTAATACCTAAAGTATGTATTTTAGTATTACTTAATTTGTATGTAAAAAATGATGCTTATACAATTGGCTTAAATTTAAATAAAACTTTCTTTTTTGGTTGCTCCGAAAAATGTAATTAAATTTGACTTTGAATAGTGCCGTGACTCGAGTGTTCCCTGTTAATGCAATCAATTTTGATATGGCCGAGAGTATTTGTTTTAGCCGAGATTTATTTAATTTGTTTTTCTTTTCGAATTGGCCGAGAAGGTATACATACATACAGATGTATTCATATTTTTTATTTTGCATTTCTTGTATTTTATTTTTGCTTTCATCGCCATTGGACAAGCCACCATTTCTTATTTAGATTTGGATATCTAAACTTATTTCCATTCGCTTACGTGCGAGTTTTAGTCACCAAACATATGTCTCGTAACATACTTAATGTTCTCTTGAAAGTTTGCCCTCTAGATAATAATGTAAATATGGTTTGTGGTAGTTTAGAGAAGAGTTTACTGTGTCCAAAAAGGTGTATGGTATTGTAAACCTTTTTTTGATTCAGCCGAAACTAAGGTAGTTATAATTAGGGGTTCTCTTTAAAGACAAATATTTTTTAAACTTGATTCACGAAACTTGCATGCCAGTGTTGATGTATTCTTGGTTAATTGTTGCCGCTTTCGGAGATGGTAGTTTTTCAGTGTACAACCAAATGCGATTTTTCGAAAAACAACTAAGGATTGGTTTAGATAGGAAAGTTAGAACAATGTAAGAACCTAATTGGAATACCGTGTATCTTTCTCAACGTTGGGTAGCCAGTTTTATTGTTTTGCTTCAAAATCTTTATCGCTCACGTTGTAACAATTAATTCAGTGTTTACCAGGAAAGTGAGATGTTTTATTTCATGTTTGTAAATCTGTGTTTTGTCTCTTGTAATATAAAAAAGTTTTCCTTTCCATTTTGAGTTTTTGCTTTGATTTTCGCTGCTTTGTCTTTGTTGCTTTTCACACATATGCATATATATTATATATATATATATTATTTTACATTCAATCGATTGGAAATGATACAAATTCAAATATCAAGATGTTTAACAATTTGTAGCTATTGTTAGTTCTGCCTCTTTAAAAAATATATGTATATAGGTAGTTGGCTTGATCTTGGTTTGTCTCTGTTGTATACTTAAAATCGTCCTTCAGTTAATCATCTTTTGATTTGGTTCAACATGCGTTTAATTAAGCAATGTATCTTCTTCCGCCTTCGTTTTTTCGGGTTTTCATGTGGTCTGTTGCACAAAAGACGCTCAATAAGAAAAAAGTGTTATTGTACTATGGTTGCTGCTGCGGTATCCGTTGCATTTGTTGTATGTATATCTTGTAAATTAATAGATTCTTGGTTTATTGTGGTTTAATTGTATCAGGCTATTGGCTGGCTCAGGGCAGGTACGGGTCCTGATCCTGGCAGTATTGTATCACTATTGCTTTTCATTGTTTGATTCTATTTGGTTTCATTTGATGCGGTTTCCTCTGCTTAACAAACTAAAGATCTTCAAGTCTCACTTTATGGTGAAAACAAATTGAAAATGGTTGCTTGTGGTATGTGGAAAAGTAACTTAATTGGCTTTAGGAGCGGTTCTCATACTTCGATGTGGATATGTTGCGTTCAGCTGATTAACTCAAAGCAAAAACTCTTAAAAATCGGTCGTTTATTTCAAGTCTCCGGTTCCCTTTGAATGCCTCTGCCCATCTATCCTTCATTAGCCCTATGCATTCGTTATTAAATTGAGTGAAATAATTGATTTACTTACTTTGGTACTATTGCATTTGCAGTTGCAGTTTGTGGTTGCCTATGTACAGTTAGAGTTGAGTTACATTTAATAATAAGTGCACGTTCACTGTCGGAGCCGACGCCGATTGTTCCATAAATAAAATTTGTTTCTATTGCCTCTGCTCAGTTATTATTTCTATGGTAGTTATTAAATGGTAGTCCCTGTCAATTGTTCATAATAATTACAAACGCATACTTTATCAAAGGAATGTCAACATAACAACAAATTGCATACTGTTCGATCTCTCATCTTATCTATTGTGTCCTTCGGGTTATTGAACTTATCGTAAATTATTTTCATCTGATGATCTCCTCGTTTAAGTATTTGCTTTACACATCCATCGGCAAGCGCAAGTTTTAAAAATATTTGTTTGCAATCGCGTACTTCACTTAACACTTAATCGAATATAGCTTTATGTCCGTTAAGTAATGTTCCTATATTTTCTCAGTTTTGGTTTATTTTTTCGGCTTTTCCGTCGATCCATGTCGACTTTTACTATTTTTTTGCATTTTTTTCTGTGTATGCTGTCTGATTGATTTATTTAAGTACTGTTCTATGGTTTACTGCCACCTGGTTTGCGTATCTATTGGTTAGCTTTTTAGCTGCGTTTATATCTTGTTTGTCGGTTGCTTGTAAAAAGATCTGTAAAATATTTCGGTACTATTTCATTTGGTTTGTAGTTTGTTCATGTTGCAAAAACAACAATTCGTATATATTATAAATAATTCATTTGATTTGTGTCTGTTATAAATTACTTGTTCTATGGGCACATTGTGTGTATTGCATAAGGCGAACCCTTCTAATAGGCATAGATCAAGGCTGGAACCCATTTAAATTTGTTTAAATTAATTGTAAACAGACGTCCTTTGGGGTATTTTAATACAACTTGACATACATGTATGTACTTTTCCGTGGACTGTACTTAAGAAGATATTGATAGAGAAAATTCAATAAATTATTCGCAATAAGTTTATAAGCTGGGAACACATTGGGACTTGCTGATCAATTAGAAATCAAAATTCTCATTTCAATTTGAGTGAGATAAACGGGAACAGAACTGAATCTATGCCTACGTGGTTCGACTTTTTGTAATAATTTCAATAGAGATATTTCGTTAATATCGCTGTTTCAGCTTGGTAAAATCTAACGAGGCTATCGTTTTCGGATTCCCCAGGTTGCGCTTGAGTTACTTAATCTTGAATCCATCTATAGACTGTTCAATTCAACGAAAAGTCTGTAATTCCTCCTATTTATCATCTGACTGCGCTCACAAACTTTGTGGGTTACTTCAAATATAAGTAGATATATCGTATATATAGGGAGTATTTGTTAAATACGTTACAAAATATAATACACCATACATATAATTTAAGAGTTTAGGGGTTTTCATATGCACTGTATGCTACTTTGGTTTGTTTTTTTCAATGTTTACATCATAATCATTCTTCATTCGCGTTTTGGTTTATTTTCTTGTTTTAGACATCATTTAAAAAGACAAGATTCGTTTTCATCCTTTGGTAATCGCTTCCCTTTTTGATACTTGGAAATTTCAATTTAAACATATTATCGGACTTTGAGATACGTCAATTAAATTGTGTACTACTCACAATTTTCAATCAAATTAAACAAGAAGCTGGTGATTGGGCTTTCATATCTTTAAAAGTATTATATATTTCTCACTTTTACTCCGATTGGTATTATTAGTATTCTTATTATTTCTGTGGTTCGCTTTATTTACTGTTATTTATCTATGTTTCAAACACTTGCTGATTCTCTTGAGTTATTTATGTATTACTTTGTTAGTGGTTTCTTTGATGCTTGGTGGTTGACTTAAAAACTATTATCACTATTGCAGAAAGCGGCTGTACTGAATTATAATGCATTCGCTTCTGGAAACTGTGGAATGGATGGTCGAGGGACCCATGGATTACTCTGCCATCCATTCCTCACCTTTCTGTTTCGAAATTACTTCATTGTGGTTTGATGTTTGTTGTAGGCATTCCTGTAAATTTGGTTTGTATCTGGGCCTTGATCGTTTTCTGAGTGTGAATTTAACGCCGGAAAAGTGTAAATTTTAGTATTATTTTTATTGTTTGTTTACTGTTATCATATTTATTATAATTCCCTTTTTAGGGTTTCTTTTATTTAATTTTAAGAAGAAAGGATCTTACTTTGGGTCTTTACTATCTTTTTCGTCGTGCAGGGTCTCAAGATTTCTCACCAAAACATTGCCGAGATCTATTCACTTTTCTCACGTTTGATTTTTGCATGTTGATTTTGAAGGGCCAAGGATTGAAAATGCCATGCCTTTGCTATCTGTGTTTCTTGTGGTTGAGTTATAGTTATGTGTTACTTATGTTTACTTATTAGGGCTTTTGATACTGCAATTAAAATTTCTGCTATAAAAATTACTTGTATTTGTACTCTTGGTTATTTAATTGGGCTATTGTTGGTTGTTAGGTATGCTGGTAACTTTGTGTCTTACTTATTTCCTCAGCAGCTTTTGATTTCTGCTGTCTGTATCTGTTGCTATATATCTCCCACGACATTGTAGTTTCGTGGCTTCCTATCGTTTGATTCGGTTACGGTCTGGTCTGGTCTGTTCGGTTCTGTCAAGTAATAGCCCCTTTTTCGGTCTAGGCTTTCTGTCACTTCAGGGATTTCCCCAGATTGATGACTGGTTACATATCCGATATACATTTTGGTTTGTCTCGGCCGACGTGGTCCTGAGCTCTGAGACGCATTCAAAGAGCCAATTCCACAGTAGCAGCTGGTATACACCATTTTCAGCTTTCTTCAAACTTATCCTTGCTGTGAACTTTTATAAACAAATTGGATAACTTTCAATCAATTAACAGATGAAAAACAAACCGAAAAGTTAAAAGAAGAAACCAATCCTAATGGTGGAACATAAAGTGAAAATAAAAGTCATTTACAGAACATTGTTGGAGAATAAAAGATCTCCGGGTTAGTCTGCAAAATGTTTTTGGAGCGTTTAAAATTTTGTTTTAGACTTTGTCTTTATGCTAGAATTTGTTGCGCCTAAATTTATGTTTTTGTTTTTGATTAGGTGTATGCTTTAAATTTTGGTTTTGTGTTAATGCCTAAAATGTACAAAAGTTTTACGTTTTAGTTGTTTTGTTTTAATTTTGCATTTATCACAGCGACATTCAGTCTAAAGTTTGCTTTTATTGGAATTATAGCATAATTTGCCATAATTTACTTTGATATAATCGTTCTGGTAAATTTTTCCATTACTTCGTTTAACTAAAACTAAACATAATTTTGATTTAAAGCCAAAAGGTTCGTGTATGTATGTTCGTGGTTTTTCTTTTCGATTTTCGCTTTTCGATTCTCGATTGGTTATAGCCAAAAAGAATTGTTAAAATTTGGTCTACAAGGCCTAAAAGTTTGCTACAGCTTAGTGTTAAACTTGAGTTACATATAGCAAATCATGCTGATCATTTCGATCATGCAGATCAAGTTCCTTAATCTAATTCCAATAAAAGCCACCATGGGTTACAATTCTTTTGGATGTTGGTTGCCTTTGTGCCAAAACATGCAATTTTTGGTGTTTAACTTTTGTGTTTCTTTATAAATTTTGATTTAGATTTGGATTTTCAATGTGCCTAAAGGGTGTTTTAAAAATTTTGACTAACTTTATCGTAACCGTAGTAGTTAATACATATTTTACAATGCCAAACAATTATAAAACTTTTGCTGCAAAATTTACATTCTTGTTATGCCAAAACTTGCTATGTACAATTTTGATTAAGCCGTGGTTGCCAAACATTTCCTATAATTGAGCCCCATTCGTATCACAAAAACAAGACGCTGCCCAGCCTAAGAAGTCCATTTGTGGTTTGTTTGTGTAATGCCAAAATGTTCAGAGTCGTTCCGTGTGTAAGGGCTGAGGGCGGGGTAAGACTAATGGCAACTGAAAATGTAACTTAAACTGAAAGTCAGATGAATCATTGTTTTATTGAAGTAATTAAATAATATATCCAAACATAATTGATAAACTGTAGGTTTCAAACGGTAAACACAAAATCGTATTGCGAGCACTTGCTTTGATTTCAATAGAAACTTAGATAATTGGCTACATACTAAGTGTATTAAATAATGAGTAGATACTTGGTAAAGTGAAACGTCTATGCTAAAAGTAAATCCTCGCTCCGCCACGATCTTCTTTACAATACATAAAGTGTATGTAGTTTTATACATAAATATGTAGGGTACATATGCTATAATATTAATAACAATCATAAATGCTTTGACGGTACATTGGAAAATTTTATAAGAAACTAAGCTTTCGGTTATATCCACACTGAATTGGTAGGGGAGAAAACGCAGGAGGTGGGTGGTCAAATAGTGCTTAGTCTGCTGTGGTTCAGATTCAGTGTAAGTTGAGAGCATTAGGGGAGAGTTGGGTTGGTCTGTTACCTTTTTGACTATTGTTCGATTGTATGGCACCTTAAGAGTCACATTGCCTGCCTTATAAACACGTCTGAATGTACATATATTGATCCTGCCTATTTACTTTTGCCTTGTCTGCTGGTTGTGCCTGTGTATGGGTTTGTCCGGGTTAAACGTGTGCATGTCTAATTACTAAATAAAAACTCAACATAAATTACACATGATTAGTTGGGGAAGACAACAAATGAATCCCAGCTCGAATTACGCGGGGACTCGTAACTAATTATGGGTATTTAGTATTTTAAAATTGCATTCCGTAGTATATATTACACTTTAAGAAATCACATATGTATGCTTTAATCGAAAAAAAGGAGAAGTTCGAATTCATATTTGTGTGGCCCCCGTAAAATCGTATTCTTCAACAAAAGTTCGAATCCATTAACATATCCGAAGAACTGAACTAAATCTTAGCTGCTGCCTGTCACAATAAAAACAAAACAAAAACTCGCTCAACGCCAGCACCTCCTCCTCCATTCGTCCTATTCCTCCTCCGACATCCACGCTTCCTCCCAAATAGTGTCTAGCTGCCCTAACTATCACTTCGCACTCGTTATGTCTGAGCCATCCTATCTTTACGCCTAATCGTATAACTCCTGTGGGTCGAACTCTGCGTGCACATACTTACTTCTCTGTGACCGTGTGCATATACATGTAAAGATCTGAAGTATCTCTGTAGTCTTTTAAATGTGTGTGTGTGGGGGGGGGGTCCTTAAAAAATATTATGTCAAAAAGGAATCGTATAACGTTGTGTTTTGGCTCTCGTTCCTCCTACATTCTGCTTTATCCTTTCCTTGTAAAACATCGACCATTCGCATTTCATGTGTATGGGTTGTGTCAAAGGAGTTTAGAGTCCTTTTCAAAAAGACTAGTACTCGTCCTGTGTTCACGTGTTCGTTTGCGTCTCCTCTGTCCAGCTTTGTTCTCAGTTGGTCGACGTCTGCCAGTACAAAACTGTGTTTTGTGGTTTAATTTAAAGATCCGTTTTAAAAACTAGGAGAATTTGTATGCGTCTAATACTAATAAATAAACTTATCGAACCTATCGGATATTTTGTGAATAGTGTGGGCTCCTCAATTTTGATTTCCGCCAGGGGCTGCTGCTCCTGGTCTAACTGTCTCCTTACTGATGACATCATAGAGATCCGAATATCGAGTGTATGTGTGGATGTATGGGTATTGCGTGCGACAGAGTCGGCGGTGGCGGGGGAGGCGCAGCTCCGTTGGCCACCCCGGGGTGGCCCGGATGACCCGGGTGGACTGCGTGCGACGTTGGCGGCGGGGGCAGCGTGATCGAGAGCGTTACGGTTTGCGGCGCCGCCACTGGAGAGGCGTGTGCGGAGGAGGGCGTGGCCGCTGTGACAGCCGCTGCCGCTGCCGCGATGTGGTGAGCAGTCGTTGTTGGTGGAGGAGGCGGGTGCGAGTGGTGCTGCTGTTGGGCTGCCGACGACTGCTGCTGCTGCTGTTGTGGTGCTCCAGTTGATCCAGTGGTGGGATGTCACTGGGCCACCACGGAGGCAGACGCATTCTGCTGAACCACTACTCCGGGGGCCACAGGGTTGGCCACTGTCACGGTCACCGGCGGCGTCGGGCCCCCGTTGGCGTGCGCGACACTGGGCTGCTGGGCCTGCTGTTGTGTCTGGAAGGGATGCTGGAAGGGAGGGCCGTAGCACTGCGGGAAGTACAGTTCGTTCTTCACCACAGACTGCTGCACCACAGCGGCTGCTGCCGCATTGGCCGCTATGCTGCGCACAGGCAGGATGTTTGCCTTGTTGTCCACCGCCGTCGGGTTGTTATTGTTGAGGAATTGCTGCGCCGCCAAGCTCTTGACGTCGTTCATCAAGTGATTGGCCACCGAGGCGACTTGAGCGACAGCATTGTTGTTGTTCTGCTGCTGTTGCTGTTGTTGCTGTTGCTGCTGCTGTTGCTGTTGCTGCTGCTGCTGGTGCTGCTGCTGCTGTTGCTGCTGCTGGCGACGCACCTTGGTGGTGTTGGGGTTCATGTGGTTGTCTATGTGCTTGGTCACCTCGTTCTCCGTGGCGAAGCGACGTCGACAGTTGGGCATCGGGCAGCAGAATGGTCGATCGCCCTGAAAGACAAACGGAAAGAAGGAGAGCAAAGAATGCTCGGGTTAGGACGTTGTGTCAATTACAGGCTTCTGAGGGCTGTGGCTAGGCTACAACTACCTGGTGGGTACGAGTGTGCTGGTCCAGAATGGCCTTCTGCCGGAAGTCCTTGCCGCACTGGGCGCACTTGTACGGCTTCTCGCCGGTGTGGATGCGCAAGTGCTGGTTGAGGATGGTCCGCTGACGGAAGAAGCGCGGACAGTACATGCAACCGAAGGGCTTCTCGTTGGTGTGGATGCGCAGATGCTGCGTGAGGTGCGACTGCTGGCGGAAGCGCTTGCCGCACTCTGGGCAGGGGTAGGGCCGCGACTCGATATGGATGCAGCCGTGCTGGAGCAGAGTCGTCTTCTGCTTGAACTCCTTGTCGCAGATGGGACAGCGCACGTAGAGCGGCATGTTTGCCGGCCGCACTCCGATGTGCTGCAGAACCTCGGGCAGTATCTTTTGGCCTGCGCGTTGATCTGATTAGAAGGTAGCCGTCTCCAAAACCCACGCCACTCGACTACTCACCCTTAACGTCCTTGAAGTACGACGGATAGTGCATGCCGCCGCTACCATCCGGGGTTCCCTGGGAGTCCTCGTCGTGGTAGCCGCCGCCGGCACTGGCAATGTCGCCCTTGGTGTCGTTCTCTTCTCCCGGGAATGGAACGTCTGAGGGCCACAGCGTCGGGTGTGGCCCGTTCTTGAAGATGAGGTGTGGGGAGACGTCTGTGTGGGGGACGTGTTGATCCGCATCCGACGCACCAGTTGATCACACATAGAAGTAGTCAAGCGAGAGAAAGACACTGTTAGCAGCGCTTAAACTTGGCACGCAGCCGAGATACAAATCTTCGAAGAAACTACCTAGCCTCTTTCTCTAATCTAAAGACGGAAATTGTTTTTGCTATACCCTTGCAGGACATTATAGTGTCAGTAGGAAGTGTGCCGCGGTTTGTATCTTTGTTTTATATATCTAAGCTATCAGCATGAAGCTTTCCAAATAATTATAGTTTAACTAAAGGTAGCTCAAGAGTAATTATCACATTCAGATGTTGATATGGTACAGGTGCCATAGAAACGATCGGAAAGTAAACTTAAACATAATTTGTAATGTTTTTTAAAATACTCGCATATACTGAATAGCAAAGATTGCAACTGCAAGGGTATACACACTTCGGATTGCCGAAATGAGCTGTTGTTTTTTGCTTGGTTTGGCTTTGGTATAGCTTAGGCAAATCATTGGAATTAATAATCCAGATCGCCTTGAGCGATTCCAATACCCAAAACAAGGGAAACAGTTAAATATAGGGACAATTTTGGACATTGGCTACAAGACAATGGAATGGCAGAGTTTTAAATTTTGCAGGGAAGGAGTTCAGTTGCCAAAAGGACTCAGACAAGCCGAGCGTTATGAACGTGCTGTGGTTGCCCCTAACAAGGGTCGGGTCCTCCTAGCACTAGCCCTATCGACTGCCTGTTCGAATCTGTATCTGCATCTGCATCGTAAGAAATGAGTTATCTGTATCTGTCGCTCGCCTTGGTGGGTGCGCACATGCTGATTGAGGATGGCCTTCTGGCGAAAGTGCTTGCCGCACTCGGGGCAGGCGAAGGGCTTCTCACCCGAATGGATGCGTATGTGCTGGTTGAGAATGGCGCGCTGCCGGAAGCTGCGCGAGCAGTAGGGGCAGGTGAAGGGCTTTTCGTTGGCGTGGATGCGCAGATGCTGCGTGAGGTGCGATTGCTGCCGGAACCGCTTGCCGCACTCGGAGCAGGGAAACGGACGCGCGTCCGTGTGGATTCGGTCGTGCTGCAGCAGCGTGCTCTTCTGCTTGAAGTCCTTGCCGCAGGTCAGGCACTTGAAAAGCCGCAAGTCGCTGTGCGGCTTGTTCTTGTGCGGGCGTCCTGGCCCGTTGCCAGTGCGCCCTCCGGTCGGCACGCCGCCGCCAGGGCCTACGCCCGCGCCCGATGCCCCGCCCACTCCTCCGCCGTTGACTGCCGCCGCGCCCTCATTGGCATTGGCGTTCGTCGGACCGGCACTCTGCTGTCCGTTTTGCTGGCCCGGTAAGAGCTCGGGCAGCGAGTAGGACTCGCCGGCGCCCCCGCCTCCGCCACCGCCGCCAGACTGCTCCATGGGCAGCACTCCCTTGTTGAGATAGTGGAGTGGCGGAAAGCCGGGTGGCGCCAGCATCGCTCCTTGCGGCGCAGCGTGACGGGGAGCATAATAGTCGGGCGTTTGGAAGCTGTTGCCGGGATCGCCCTGAGGACCGCCGCCGCCTCCGTTTTGCTGCACATGTGGGTTACCGGGCTCCCCCGCATTAGGGCCCGAGTGCTGGGGGTCGGTACTGCTTTGGTTCTGGTTGGGCGCAGGGTTCTGCTGGTTTCCGAGCTACAAATGAAGAACGGAGAAGTGCATTAAACTCGGCCCAGGCCAGCTGTTTGCTATAAAGACTTACCTGGTTCATGGCATCTTCGTCGGCGCCCCCGTTTGCCCGCTGCTGTTGCTGTTGCTGCTGTTGCTGCTGCTGCTGTTGCACCGAGGGATATGGGCTGGACGAAGGCGACACCTTCTGCTGGCGGCCGTCGCCGCTGCCGTTGTCACGGGGCTCTTGGGCTCCGCCCGGCGGACTCTGCGGCTGACCCGCTGCCGCCGCTGCGGCTGCCGCCTGGGCAGCTGCCTGCGCCGCGTTCTGCTGCTGCTGCTGCTGGGCGGTGAGATGCTGCTGGGCCTGCTGCTGGATGTTGGGGTACATGTCGCTGCCCCACTGGGCGGGACTGGCTCCGATGGCGCCCGGGTTGCGCTCTGCGTCCTGCGAGTCCTTGTAGAGCACGTACGGCTGGCCCGTGTCCTGTGTGATGCAGTACATGATCTGGCGGGGCACCTTCAATCCGGCTGCTATGCAGGCCGCGAACGAGGCCGAGAAGTTGATGGCCATTCTCGTCGCTACTGCTGTTCTATTGAATCTGTTGGCCGGAGGTCCTAGCTGTGGCTCGGTTAGGGATGCAGGTGCTGCTGCCTGGCCGTGCTTTGACTTCGAAGGGAAAGCTCTAGGGTCGCTTTCGTTTCTTTCTGATTTCTTCCTTTATTATTGATTATTAAAACACATTTTAGCAGTAGTGGTTTGGTTTCCTTAGCCGTACTCTTGCTTGTTGTCGCTGCTGCTTCTCTTGTTAGTGTTTTCATTTGTTTCTCTTCATGTTGGTCAAATTTAAAATTCCTTTCTTCTTAAGTGTCTCATTTATTTGCTTATTTATAAACTTGTTTTGCCGTTGATCTTTTCGCCAGTATTTTTTAATTCAAATTAAATTTTACCTCTGCGCTTTCTTTGTTATTCCAAATCTGTTTCCAAAGATATTTTAAGGGATGCGATTTTTCCTCTCGTTCAACTGCAATGGGAAATGGAAAGATTGATAATTAAGAAATATTTTACATTACCAAATATTTATGGGTTTAGATTCAAATATAAGTTTTTGATAGATTATTTTGTGTGTCAAAGTAGGTTATTAATAGTTTTTAACTGTCTGTATAGAGGGTATTTTTGAGTCTACTTTTAACTATTGCTAATAATCCCTTTTCATCGCTTAAAAATTTGTAACCTTGTTGCTCCCAGGGTATACCCTAAACAAGGTTTAACATAACCGCTAGCTCTGATGTGAGCATTCTGCTAGAGGTGATAGGATTTCAGGGCCAGCTTCTTACACTATTTGTGCTGAAAGCCAAATGCCTCACCTGCGATCTGCACAAACTGCAAATCGCATTCAGCTCTTCACTTGGAAGCTCTGCGAAGAAAATGGAAGAGCCATTAACAGAGATGCCTAGCGAATTAAAAACAATGAAGATCATCAGCGGCTGATTGGGAGGAGTGGCGCATAAACCGTCACCGCATGCCAAGCAGCCGAGCTCCCGCTCCACATCCTCCGCCTGCCGACCTCCAAAACGGTTGTCCACATGGTACTCCTGTGCCGCCGCCCTGCCGCTTGACTCAGCTCACTGCCTCGCATGCCTTTCGTTTCTTGGGTTCGGTTTTGGCTTTATCGTTGTGCTTCGCTCTTTTGTTGTCCCACGACGATGACGCCGACGTGCCAACTTTTTAATGCGGGATCAAGGTCTCCGAGAGCGTGCGCCATAGCCACTTCCACATGCCCAGACAAAGGCTGGCTCTCAGATACACACTGCAGCAGAAAAGTATCCCCGCGAAGTGCCGAGTGTGGAACAGCAGTTCGTATTAAGATTCCATAAGAATAGGTCTATTTGATATTTGGGTCACGAAGCACCACTCAATTTCGGCATCGAGTTGCACTTTTAGAGAACCTAAAACTTTCATAGACGGATCAAAAATAAGAGCAAGTCAGGCTTCCTTAAACCGGGCAAGGCGAAGGAAGACGGAGATTCAGGGGGACAGAGCTCTCCGGCGACGCTGTCGACACCGCCGCCGTTGCTATTTATGGCGAACTGCGCTCCAATGGCAGAGCAACAGCAATTACAATATATATATGAGTTCGTTGTCCATGCAGGTCTCCGAGAACTTCGATTTCGAGTATCACTATCTGTACGCTCTGGAGGTTTTCTCCGCTGATTGTCAACGCCTCCGCTCTTCGCACAGACCCTTTCCTCACCCCCTTGGAAGACACGTAGTGAGCACTCCCTCTTGGTAGGCACTCAATCTTGACATTGTGGAAATGTAATTCAATTTACTCTAATATATATAAACATAACAAGTTTTCAAAATATATCTCTAAAGCTATAGAAAACCTCTCCTTACGTACTAATCATGAACTAATGGGACCCAATAAAGGATACCAGCAAAATGGCTTGATCAGTAGGATTTTTAAATGAAAGTCTGATTTCTAGAGAGTTAACAGATACAAATGAAATTTGGGAACTCGCTGGCATGGTTTAATTGCAGGAAGCTCGTTTTGCGGCTAGCTGCGTTCATGTAGTACCCGCATCGCCAATGAAACATAGTTTAAGCTTGTGTTTGTTTGAATTTGTAGCATGCATATGCTCCACTTTTCGGGGGCTTATCGCAGACCGAATTGGAGTTGCCAATTTCTGGCTCACGCTTCGCTGGCAGTGAAAGTTGTCAACCCAGCACCCAGCACCCAGCCCCTAACACCTAGCACCCAGCCCCCAAGCCAACCACCCAGTCCCCGCACCACCCACAAGTCGTGGTCCACTTAAGCCGGAGCTTGATATTTCAGTTTCCATTTCTATTGGAATGGCGTCCGCAGCGAGTCAGCCAATGACGCCGTTGCACGCTGCCATTAGCGTAGCTTGCAGTTTTCGTGCTCGTATCTCGTGGATATGTGCATGTGGATGGCCATGTGTTTCTGTGTATCTGGAGTGCTGGGCGAGTATCTGGTGTCTTGTAACTTGTATGGTGTCTTCAGCTCGTGCCTGGCCGTGTGCCTGAGCCGTCAGGTGTAAAGTAGGTGGAGTCTGCAGTCTGCCTGCAGATATACCACTCGTTTGGGTCTGCTGACCATCTATTCAACTCCTTGGAGGGTTACGCCACTCTGGCGGCCTCAAAACAGAATTCTTTTCATAAGAATTTATACAAATATGTATTATGTTAATACGACAAAAGAAAACAACACCAAACTTGTGGACAAATGGGTAATTTTGTGAACAATTTTTTTTTTTTTGCAATCCGTGAATAATTTAAGATGGAATAATCTCTTCTTATCATTAGATTGTATTTTTTAATAAAAACTATTTAAAAGGGTATGGAATTTTGATCAAAACGTATTAAAAAAAAGTATAGGGTAATATAGAGAAAGTATTCCATATCGTTTACACAAGTTTCAAAATAGTGGTTTTGAGAAAGAACTCGGTTATCAACAGGAGGAGAATGCCATCTAATCCGATAGATTGGCTGCACAAAAACTTTGATAGTTTGTTCGCACATTAACTCTTTTCCCGTTATATATGTGCGTGCCCGATTTTGTTGTCATAAAAAAAATTTAATTTGCGCTGTACATCCTAACTGCCCCCGGGATCATCTTATATTAAAAAAAGTATAATGCATTTGTTAAAGGATAAGTGTTCCGAGGTAGTCACATGGCGTTTTTATTTTCAAAATGTTGTCCTGGTTTGTAATCCAAATTGATAACCAAAACCCCGAGTTATGACTAAAAAAGTGAGCTATTTTCTTACATAAAAAAATATAATTAAAATATAATATAATTATAATTAATATAATTAGCATAATTAGTTAAATTTATGTTGCAAATGTTCGCCCAGTAGAGTTAGAGTTATCGTACTTTGACTTTGAAAATGTAATTTTTTAGGAGAGCGCTTTAACTTGTTGATAATATTACTGCGTATAACTTCGCGTTTTTTTTTTCTATTATCGATGTAAAACTTGGACACAATATTCTTAAGATATTGAACATTTATAATTACAAATAAATATTAATATATGAAAAAATTAAGTTTTTTAATTAACCCCCCTTAAGAGAGTTTACCCATGTTGTAGTCTGCAAAAAAGGGAGTTGAATATAATTTCTTTCACCGATCTCCGTGTACGCGGGGAGATGGACACATTTTTAGTTTGTGTATTCCCGTGACAATAATTATTTAATTTTGATAAAATAAAGTTGGACATGCATCCTGCTTGCGCTACTTCTAGTATCTAGTAGTATTTAGACGTACCGGGATCTACGGACAACATATCCGAATCTTAACCCAAAACTCCCAGGAACAGTTTCACTAGTGCGCAAACAACGCATAGCGACCACATAGAATCCAGCTTCAAGGTTAAGGCAGCACACAGAGAAAAAGAAAATACTTAAATTGCCAAAAGTTGTTTGCGCTTGTTGCTCCACCAGAAAGCACAAAAAATGAGCGCCAAAACATTTTAGCGTAATTTGTGTAGCTATCTAATTCAATGCACAAAAGCTTTGCCAACGACGAGCGAATTGTGGACCAGCGGGGCGAGGCAATAAATGGGGATAAAGGGGGACGAAACAGAAAGATAAAGAGAAAAAAAGAGAGGTAGACAGAGAGAGCTACCAGGGGGGAGAGCACTTGGGGTAAACTGAGAGAGGGAGAGAGCGTGCGCTAAAACTACAACGACGGGTATTCATAGAGATGGGAGAGTTACAAGTAAATAAAAACAATTCGCGCCACAAATATAAAAAGAAGGCAAAAAAGTGACTCACAAAAACATCCAAGTGAAAAATTGTTCCTCTATTTATATGCTTTTAGAGAGTGCTTCGCAAAAATTGCTTCTGCCATGGGTTATCTGTGTAGCTCGTACATTTGAAGCCCACCGAAATATTTTAATAGGGGATTTCAGATAAGATCCCTGTGCGGTTGGCTTTCTCTGCTATCTCTTAGGTCGTTTAGAGCGCTATACAACTCCTGGGTTCGTTCTTAAAAGGGCACTCTAAGCTTTGGCGGTGTTCAATTCGTGTTTTGGCTATAACTGTTCATTTAATTAACGCCTGACTATGGCGGGCTCGTCGTGTGACAAACACAATCTTTACCGGAAAAAACTCACGGCAGATGAACGGATTCCAACACGTTACACATGCATTAGGAGTCGGAGATGTATCTGTTAGATACACAGGCCGAAAAAAATGAAGTGACTGCTGCGACAGAGAGCCACACAGGCGCACACAGACAATTAAGTGATTTCGGTTTTTTTTATTGTGGAACATTGTGTGGATTTTAGTTTTTTGCACAAAAAACGTTTTTGCTTATAATTCATCATATTCCCTTATGGCCTGACATTCGCACACAACATTCATAGATACGCACGAACACGCACACACCCAGCTCGGGGCACTCACACAGATGCCCTACTCATTCGGATACCACACTTCCCTCCCCCTCTCGTCTTCACTTCACTCCCACAGACACCAAAAATATAAATGAATTTAGCCCCAGGGAGAATTTCGCAAAAAAAAAATCGGAGAGCGAAAAAGCAAATAAAAATTGCAAATGATTTGTGGCGAATTTTGTTGTTGGTCTCGCTTTCAGTTTGCGCCTTCTTCTTTGAGCTTCTCTGCTCATTAGTGTCTTTTTGTGTACCCCCCCCTTCTGGCCCCGTGGCCCACCCCCGGTCCACGCCAGGCGGATCTCATTTGCATTTTGTCAATTTGATTTACGCGCAAACATTTTTAGTTGTGTATCTTTTTATTTTAAGTTTAATTTAATTTCCATTCGATTTTTGCAACCTCTCTTCACCTGTTTGACCTGCGAGTTCCGCGCTTAGCTGACTCTCATTATTTATTTTTCTAAAAGGGTTTTACTTGAAAACTTTCGTAAGCTTCACCAATTTTGTTACCCAGAATTTATGTATTTACTTAAATTCTCCATCATCTCCTACGCACCGTCGATCCGGATCACTGTCGTTTTGTATGAACTGCATAATCTCAGG